ACTTAGACACTGTCCCAAAATTTAAATTCAAAATGTATAAAAGGTCTGGAGATGTAGTTTAGTGATAGAGTACCCCTGGGTTAGATCCTCAAACACCAGACACACACACACACACACACACACACACACACACACACACACACACGATGGATAGAAGTGAGTGAGGCCTGTAAGTGTTCAGGGGAGTTTCAGGGAGGTGACTCAGCTACAGAGGGAGGCACCTGAGCAGAAGCAGACCTCTTCCCAGGACCCTGGTGGGGATGCCCCCAGAAATGTTGCATCCTAGGTGCCAGCCTTGTGCTGAAGCCTCAGTTCCTCTCAGAGGAGAGACTGATCTGGTGGAGGGGAGGGACCGGTCACTGAGACAGCTGTGGGTACAGCCTGTCCTCAAGGTAGGCAGCAGTGACTTCTGAGACTGGAGAATGGTAACCAGCCAGAGGTTGGAAAGGCCATGGAGCTGCTCTGTTTATAGAAACCCATCAGGACTCCCAGATAGAGTATAGTTTTTATTCCTTATTTCTAGCCCCTAAGATTTTTTTTTCTAGCTTTAAAAATTCTCACCAGAGTTCCATCCAAGACTCATGTTAAAACATTTTTCTCCCCAAGTGACTGTGCTCCATCTACTGAAAATCATTTTGAGTTCAGTCTATTGAAAGATAAGGAAACTGTTATAGTGGAAGATGGGCCCTGGGCTCAGAAAGCAAAGAAAAGTGATAAAAATATGATGGCCATGCATGATTTTTATAAAGTGAAATAGTCCCTGACTTTTTGGAGATTCTAAACTCTGCAAGTGTCAAAGAATTATAATATTAACTAAAAGTCTCGAAAAACTAAAGAGAATTTGGAAACAGCTATGATCTTTTTACAAAATTCCTATACATTGGAAGAGCTCAGACCTAATCTGATCTTAACCCATTTATGCTGAAGGTTGTAATTTTTTTAAATTTTTTCCTAAAATTCATATATGTTACCTAGAAAAATTCAAGGAACACAAATTTGACGAGAAGACTTTTTTTTTTTATCAGTACCAGGGATCGAACTCACAACCGCCTGCTTGCCAGGCAGGTGCTTATGCCGCTGAGCTAAATCCCCAGCCCTGAGAAGACTTTTTAAAATTATCTTCCATTGTTGTGTGCTGCTCTGAAAATGAAACACTTAACATAAAAGGATTAAAATTCAGTGTGTGATTTGATTCTTATAGTAATGTTTCTTTTTCTGAGGAATATTTTAAAGTTAACTTTTAACATATAAAAACACAAAATCGCACATTAATGAGGTACCATATGACCGTACAATGCTTCAATGCATGTATATTTTGTGTAACCAGATTAAATGTATGTCTCCTAAAACTTCTTTAAATGTATGTGTCCTAAATTAAATGTATGTGTCCTAAAACCTTTTCCTCCAGCTCTTTGAGATGCGTATTGCTGTCTAAGAGTCATCCCCCTGTGCACCAGAATTTCTTGCTCCTATAAAGATGTACCTTAGCTCTCACTGGTTAACCTCGCCCCATCACTTTTTCTCCCTATTCTCCCTCTCTTTACTTTCAGCTTCCACAAAATCAACTTTTTAAAATTTTACATGATTGAGAGAGATCATCTTGGATTTGCCTTTGTATGCCTGCTTGTTTCATTCAATATAATGATCTCTAGTTCCATCCATACTGTCACAAATGACAGGATTTCATTTTTAATGGCTGAATGGTATTCATTATGTACCACATTTTCTTTATCTAGTCAATGGATTGTTTCCATTTCTCTGGTATTGTGAATATTTTGCAATATACATAGGAGTGCAGGTATCTCTTTCCATGCTGTTTTTCTTTTGGATAAATACCCAAGACTAGAATTTCTGGATGCTATGGAAATTCTATTTGAGTTCTTTGAGAAATTCCTATATTGTTTTTAAATGGTTGTAATAATTTACATTTCCACCAACAGTGTGCAAGTGTTCCTTTTTTTCTGTGTCCATGCCAACACTTGCCTTTCCGATAATAATTATTCTTTCTGGAGTGATGTGAAAATGTCTTATTACTTTTATTTGCATTTTTGAGGTTTTTTTTTTTTCCGTTCCGGGGATCAAACTCACAACCGCCTTCTTGCAAGGCAGGTGCTTATGCCGCTGAGCTAAATCCCCAGCCCTTATTTAAATTTTTCTGATGATAAATGATGTTGAGCATTTTTCACATATCTGCTGGCTATTTGTATGTATTCATTTAAGAAATACTGTATGTATTTAGATCTATTAACAATATTTAAATCAGATTTTGGTTTTGTTTGGTTGCGGTTATTTATTTATTTATTTTTGCTATCTAGTTTTGGGATTTCCTTATACTGTATAAATTTTCCTCCCATTCTGTGTGCTGTCTTTTCCCTCTGTTGACAGTTTCCTTTGTTGTATAGATGCTTTCTACTTTAGTGTAATCCTCTTTGTTCATGTTTGCTTTTGTTTCCTGTGCTTTTGGGAGCTTGTCCAAAAAATCATTGTGCAGTCCAATATCCTAAAGCATTTCCTCTATGATTTGTTCCTGTAGCTTCATTGCTTTTGTCTTATATTTAATTTGGGTTAATTTTTGCAACTGGTGAGAGACAGTGGGCTAGTTCCATTCTTCTGTATATGGATATGCAATTTCCCCAGCACTATTTATTGAAAAGACTGTCCTTTATTCCAGTGTGTGCCTTAATGTCATTGTAAAAAATCAGCAGGCTACAGATGTGTGCCTTTACTGCTAGGCTCTCTGTTGTGTTCCACTGGTCTATGTATCTAATTGCAAGTTACATTAATACCACGTTGTCTTGATGACTTCCACTTTTTAACAGTTTTGCATTTAATTGTGAATAAAATAAAATTTTCCTCTCAAGTCACTGTGTTACTCCACTAAGACAAGTGTCTTCTATATTCAAAGCCTTGGGGAGCCAAAACTCACCTCAAAGAACATATTTCTCGTCCCGGCTCTTCTTGTCAGCTGCCTGAAGGAAGGAAGAACAGGCTGGCTGTCTTAATGTGGATTCATGCGGCCCCACACACCTGGCCACAACTCCTGTCTTCTTACTCTGAGACTACTGGGATCAGGGCAGAGCTGTGCAGCTTCTGGGATTTCCATCCTCATGAGGTACAGTCCTGAGAAAATTTTCTCCTGGAACATGTCAAATTCCAGAAGTTAGGGAAAGCATTTGAGATCTGGACCAACTCAAAAGGAACTATTGTTATGGGTGGGAAACTGGAACCTGACGACACCCAGTTAGCACCAAAGGAGCATTTCTGAGTCACATGTGTGCAACCACATTTGCTGATGCAAAGACACTTCCTTCCAAAGGTAGTGCCAAAATGCTTCTCATATTTAGAGAGAACGGAGTGTGTTTACCATTGTGGGGACACTTTGGAAATTGGTGAACTGAGAGGCAGGTGGCACTGGCTACTGTTTTGACAGAAGCATTAGGGTGATCCTACCTGAGAAACTAAGGGAGCCACCCATCTGGAGTGCTTCCCATCCCCTCTGCACTTGTCCCTGCAATGACAGGGAGAGGGATCCTGAAAAGCATCTGAGATCCCTATGCTAGTCCTGCCCTGATGATAACCTGAAATCTCTGGGGAAGAGAGAAACTAGGAAGGGACTTACAGTCTGGCTGGACAGTCCACCTCAATGAGTCAGTTCCAGGCATCTTTTTCTTGCCATTGCATGGGAACTGCCTTCAATTCACCCACCACTTCCTACAGGACTCTACATGGAAAAGCCTATATCACAGCTGAGGGCTTCTCACTTCTTTCTGCCTCTTTTCAGTTGTCTTATAAACTGGTTATTCCACACAATATTATTACTACAATCTGAAAAACCTTAGGGCTATCCCATTAGTGAATGCCTGGCTCAAACTGGCCCACTTTATTCCAAAGTCTAGGCTCTTTCCTCAGTCCAACCACTGCCCCTAACCCACCAGCCATGCCTCCTCTGCCTAAAGTCAGGGAGCATTGGACATTTGGTTTTTTAATAAATTGAAATTAATTTGCTAGGAGGATCCACAGAACCACGCAATAATAGAGAGGGCTCAGATTCAACAAGTCTATCTTCAACACTACAGGTAATGAGTTTTGCAGGGAAGGAGCCCATCTCTGTATCTCTGATTGCTGTGACAGAAGTTTCCAGGTTGTTAAAGAGACCCAGACTCAGAATCCTGGATGCCAGAGCTCTAATCACATCCTGCAGCCAGGCCAGCTTTCAGCTTTAGTCACTTCGCTGCGGATCCTCCATGCACTGCCTGCAGCCAGGGGAGCCAGAACATCAAGGACTGAGACTTAGCAGGGGAACTGTGGAGACCGGAGAAGCCCAGATACTGGAACCACAGGCGAACCCGGAGAACCACAGCTGCAGCAACCTCAGACCACAGAAGGGAGAGATGGATGGAGTCTGGAGCACCACAGAGAGGTCCTTGCTTTCAGCCTGTCGCATAGACCTAGAGGAAGAGTCTGTTCTGCCACCTGCACTCATTTACCACCCCACTGAGTGGGAAAGGGGCCTCTGTGAGGAAGATTTTGCCCTGGTGGGGAGCTCCTTGAGGAAAGCCCCGTGCAGAGTGGGCACTCACTGGATGGGATTCCCAAGCCAAACCACGGGAGCCTTTGGGGACAGCTGGATTAGCTGGGTTTAACAGGCAGGAGGAAGCAGGGATTGGTAAAATCCCTAGTTCCCAGGATCCCTGTAGCTAAGGCGAACGATGACACTAGGACCCTAGACCCAAACCAGGACTGCACCAGGCGGGAGAATTTTTAGAGGCGGCTCAAGTCCAAGATGGGTAGAAAGTTGACCCTAGGGCGGGGACATTAGCCCCTCAAAGGCTGACAGGGGAGGAGGCTCTCTGCGGACAACCAAAGCTTGGTCCCGAAGGCATTTAAAGGACGAAAGTGGGGTGGGGCCGATCACACCTTTTGCTGCTGGCGGGCTCGCAGATGGAGCACCCATGAGTTTCGGTACAGAGCAGCCCGCCCAAGTCCAGGAGCGGCTGGACATGGCAGCGTATTGTGACGGCCTAGGCGCCTGCTCTGGCCCACAAGGTCAGGCTGGGCCGGTCGCGCACTCAGCAGGGTACGTGCGCGGTGACTTGGAAATTGCAGGCGGTGGCCCACGCCTCTGGATGAACGCGCCGCCGGCGTTTAGCCCTTCGCCCTACGCGTCGGGCACGGGAACCCCACAACCCTATGCGGCCCCTAGCTATGCAACCCCAGGCCAGCTCCTCGGAGCCGCGGGCGGTCTGGCGGGCACTGACCTCGCGTGGCTGGCCCTCTCCGGCCAGCAGGAATTGCTGAGGCTGGTGCGACCGCCCTACTCCTACTCCGCGCTCATCGCCATGGCCATCCAGAGTGCACCCCTGCGAAAGCTGACACTCAGCCAAATCTACCAGTACGTGGCCGGCAACTTCCCTTTCTACAAGCGCAGCAAGGCGGGCTGGCAGAATTCCATCCGCCACAACCTGTCTCTCAACGACTGCTTCAAGAAGGTGCCCCGCGAGGAGAGCGACCCAGGTAACCGTGAGGGCCCTCTCGCCCGGCCAGGTCTCCACGGCTTCCAGTCGCGGGCTCTTCAGGGGGTGATCAGTCTTGGACAACACAGTACCTCATTGCACAATCCTTGGGAGGGAAGTTAGGGCAGAGGGACAGAAGGCAGTGGAACCTGCGCACCCTGATTTCCAGTCCAGGCCTCTGGGCGCTCTTAATATATGCGATCTTTGAAGGAAGAAGTTGGAGAGGCTTCCCTCTGGGTGACCTTGGGAGTTAAGTCTTTGGGCGTCCAGGCACTTCCCTGTAAAATGGGAAAGGCATTCTCTTCCTGGGGCTCTAACTTAGCTCCTGCCTCGGTTCTTCTGGTTTTTTATTTTTTTGATCCTTCTGGAATGTTCAAGTTCTTTTAGTCTGTCTCAGGGGCCCTTTCGGGGAGCAAAGCTTCATCTCCAGACTTGGGAAGGGAATAGGGGTCCTTGATCTCCGCAGTGGCATGTTGGGGATGGTCTGCTAATGCCATGCTTTCTGAACGGGGCTCTTTCTTTGCAGGTAAAGGCAATTACTGGACCCTGGACCCCAACTGCGAGAAGATGTTTGACAACGGGAACTTCCGGAGGAAAAGGAAGCGCCGAGGAGAGGCAGGCACAGCCTTGCCTCCAGGAGCCCACAGCCCAGGCGGAGCGAAGCCGGCGGCGCTGGAGCGCTCGGGCGCGGCCTCCCCGGACCTGCAGACCTCGCCGTCCCCGCCCGCGCCTGACGCCGCCGCCTGCTTCTCCAGCTTTTCCTCCGCCATGGGCGCCCTGGCCGGCGGCTTGGGGACCTTCTCCGGGAGCCTGGCGCGCGACTTTTCTATCGCCAGGCCGCCGATGGTCGCGGCTCGAAGACCCCAGACCCCAGGTTCCGCGTCCGGCTTCGCCCCTGGCCACCAGACGGCGGCCGCGAGCTTTCGCGTCAGTCATTTTGTCTACAGCCTGGAAGGAACCGAAGTTTGAAAGAGGCTGGCCAGGGTGCTGGACGCAGAGATGCTGAGGTCAGGCCCCCGATCCCACCTGACGTAGCCCCCTGAGTGTGCACTGCCTCCAGCACCGCAGGAAACTTCGCCGAGTGACAGCTCCGCTGGTGGCCTGCTGTGAACTAGCCCCATCCCTAGATTCAGCTCACCTGGACTTTCCCAGCTGCACAATGGAGGGCCCCTCTTAATAGGCCCACGGATGGGAAGGTGTTGGGCTCCACTCCCATTTGTATTTACTGAGAAGATATCCTTGTGACAGTCAAAGAGCCTAGTCACTGGGGAGATTACTTTTGGTCTCTGTACTTCCGAAAGGAATTGGGGGCCCAGTCTGTTGACCTAGATCTTTAGAGCATCTAGCATTCTCTGGAGCTGTGGGCCCTGGGGGAGGGGGATTCCCAGGTCAAGGTGTCTGTTTTGGAAGAGAGCACAGAGGGGATGCCTTCAATTTGGAGCGGGCCTTTTGTGAGCCTGTCTTTCCACGGGGTCACGAATCTGCCCACTGGGTTCATCACTGCCTCTCCTGCTGGAAATGTGCACAGCGCTACTGTGTGGGACCTGGTAGTGATTCTGATGAAGAATGTGTGGCAGGAGGATTAGGAAACTTGGATAGATCAAGCCAGGAGTTGCCGCGAATGAGACCCTGATCACATAATTTCATTGTGCCCTGGTGGTGGTAGAGAAGCATACTCTCTGATGTGGCAGCCAGGCTGCTACATCCATGAGGGCTTGAACAGTGTAGTGGACTGGTAGTTTGAGATCTCATGATGCTAGCTAACCAAATTTATAATCACCCCATAATCTCTCTTGGACTGCAATTAATTTTTTAGGTCCACTAAAGAAGAAATTCCACAGCTTATAAATAAAATAATTTTGACTTGTGAGTTTACTTTTAATAGAATAAATTGCTAAAAATAAGCACCAATATGTGTAGCTATAGCCATGCCACTATTACCAGCATCCCTAGTTTAGATTCTGTCTTTTTAAGAATGTCGGAGAGAATTTTTTAATTAAATTTGATAACAAAGGGAAATTTGACAATTAGTAGAGCTTTTGCAAAACTGGTTGATAAGGTACATATTACATATGCTGCAAACTGCTAGAATTTGATGTTCTTTTTCTCCTAACAATAGATATATTATTAAAATTGAGGGAGAATACTTTTGAAAAAGAAATTGTTCAACTTTTGGTTTGCCTAAAAATCAATTTTTGATGTTTAAAGGTTATTCATTCATTCAATATAGAGCTGATAATTAATGGTACATGAAATAGATGAAATCTTTATGAGGAAGCACAATTAAAAACAATCTCAGCAGTACAAGATATTTGGAAAATGGTGGAGTCAGATTCCAACCAGAATTCAACTCTCCTCTATAATTCAGTCCTTGTGTCTGGATATATATTCTGGATTGAGCCCCGCACCAAAACACATTCTGTGGGCCCTGCCTGGTACAGTTAGCTTTAGATTTGTTACAGTACGGACCATGCCACGTGACCATGCCAGGCACAGCTGCAAAGACACCAGAAAGATGCAGTTGCTTTGAACTTGGGCCACTATGTGGCCCTCAAGACCACTTATACTCTCTCTTATACTTCCTTTGTTACCTGTAAAGTTCAGATTTTTTCTGAAATTCAGATTATAGTATTATTATTATAATATTCCAATTTTGTTTTAATGCAAAAGAAAGCACCTCTGACTATGCTATGGGCACATGACGGTATGCTGTTGCAACATGGTCTTAGGAGTAGTAAACAATACTGTAACCCTGAATGATTTCAAATACAGAAACAAGCTTCCAACTTGAGAGGGAAAGGAAATGCCCAGATGTTGGACTGCTAAACATTCTCCCCATTGTCAAACAATAGCATTAATTTGAAAACCAAAGAGCATAATAATAAAGTAATCCAGGGTGTCTGGAATCCAATTGGTCATTGACTGAACAAGAGTCCTTGTGCAAGAAGAGTCATTCCCAGTGAAGGTTTGCAATTCCTTAAAAGTTTTGAGAATGTGCAATAGTGTTTTTAAAAGACAGAAACCTGGGTTTCAAAATATGAGTTTATGTTCCACCTGTTCACTAGCCATTAAATGTGTTTGTTTATGAGGAACATAAAGTTTTGCATTTTAAACAATGCTGCCTTGGATATTAATCCACGTTCAGTCTTTATCTGTATCCAGTACAATCAAGTATCATTGTCATTCAGGGATCCAGATTGCAGTGATTACTACAACTCTTTAGTGAAACAGAAAAATACGTTCATGCCCATTTTACACTGAGTTGAAGGCTCGATGATCTAAAGAGCTACAAAATCTCCTGACACTAATGCAGACATTATGTAGCCATATTCAGAAATGCACCTGTATACAACGTGCACACATATCACAGATCCCTGTCTTGACCAGGATCCTTAAGGTCAAAATATGGATGACAGCATCTATCCCATGGATAACCTCAGTATCCTATGGAAGAGTATTTTTAAATGATACTCTGAAAATATCACATTTATATCCAGGATTTTACTAGGTAGGAAAGGAACATGTAAAAACATCATAATATGCAATAGAGGTTATTCCCATGTAACTTAGTAAATGTAACTCATTCAGTAAATCTTTATAGAGTTCCAACTGTGAACCTAGCTTTGTACCGTAAATAACTTGGGCCCATTGCTGCTCTCAGAATATCCTTAGGCAAGACCAAGATAAATGAGCTATTGCAAGCAAATAGTAGCTATTTGACTCAAAAATCTGACTTTATGATCAAGTGGATAAATCACCTCAGTGTAAACACACAACTCCAAATCTCCAAATATAAGATTGTGGAAATTTCGCTCGTTTGCTTGCTTATTTAATTTTCTGTACTTCTGAACTATATTCCCAGCCCCTTTTATTTTTTTGAGACAACATCTCACCAGTTTTCCCAAGCTGGACTTGAATTTTTGATCCTCCTATCTCAGCTTTGCAAAGTAGTGGAATTATAGGAATGGGCCACCCCACCCAGCAGAGATTGTCTTTTAAATACACTTTACTGTGTTCTCCAGTCTGCTGGTTCAGGAAGTGTTTGATTTCTGTTCCATAGCTGCATTGTGATTTCAGTGGGGACCTGAGCATTGCTCTAGCTGGAGGAGGTCTGATCTGCTCAGTGCTGCACAGCAACATTTTAGGCACCTTAACCTTAAGACTTATCCTCTTATCAGAAGCTCTGTCACCAGGTGATGACAGGAGATAGCAGCTAAAGTGACCAGACATAGCTTTTCTCTAGGTCTCTTAGGTATAATTCCTTTGGTGCATCCCTCCATTATTGATTGAAGTTTTAGGAAATCTTTTAATCTGTTATGATTGTTGCTTTTTTTTCTTTTTTGTACCGGGAATCAAACTCAGGACCTTGCACTTCCCAGGCAGGCTCTATGCCACTAAGCTATATTCCCAGCCCATAAATATTTTAATCTGCAAAACAGCAGTATTCAAAGTTAACTGCCTGGCTCCTAAAAGAAACTATTTTCTTTGGTCAGCTTTCATCATTGGCTGAACACAATGGGAATGGGAAATGTGTTTCATTTCTCTTGATTCACAGAAGGAAAATGAATAGTGTGTTAAATTGGACGTTTACAAAAAAATTCAGAGTTGTATTGCTGTTTTAATCCAGAGCAAATTAAATCTGTGAGTTTCCAGGGCTGTTTCTATTCCCAAGAATCAAGGTCACCCATTCATTCATCTGACATACTGACCATCATGTCAGGAACTTTGTTAGATTAGGATGTAGCTCAGTGGTAGCACACTTGCCTAGCATGCACAAGGCTGTGAGTTCAATCTCCAGAACAGAAGACAAAAAACCCTGCCACATATTTAATGTATATTATTTCATTAAGCATTCACAACCCTGTTGTGCAAGTATTATCATCCCCACTCCACTGACGCAGCAACTGAGGTTCAGACCAGTGCAGTGACTTGTTTACAAGTGGTCACAGATACTACTGTGCTAAGACTGCAGGTACCTATCTACCCCTGCCTCTGATTTCCCTGCCTCTCACTTAATCCTTCAGGTCTAGAGAAATCTCATTTTCTAAGATTCTTTCCCTAATAGTCCAGGTCCAAATTATGTGCTCCTTTGGTGTGCTCCTACAGCTGCCGGACATACTTTATTATCCCCCAGAAAGCAAAGCCCTCCCTGCATCTACTTTTTTAGCATATGTGGGATGGTGTCATTTGCCTTACCCTTCATTAACATCTCCAGTGCCAGGCAATGCCGACATACAGTAGCAGTTGAATGAATGAGTGAATGAATGAATAAATGCATGAATGTATGTGTATCATTGCACCCTAAACTTCTCATACCCTTTTCCACCCTACACCCTGTCTCCAGTCTCCTGTGATGGGTCTAAGTCCTCCTTACATGGGCCAGGCCTTTTTATGAACCTAGAGATAGAACCAAGTGTGGGACCCAGCTCTGGAAACAGTGGTGTGCTATGCAGCTGATTCTGGAGGGCTTTGCACTGTGTTAAGGAACTCACAGCTAGAGGATAGGAAATTCAGAGCTAATACTCAAGATGAAGCCACTAAAACTGATTAGTTCAGGCATGTTTCCCTTGGAACACAAAAGTGACTGTAATGATTGAAAATCATGTCACAGAGAACCTCGGTTGACACTGTATTCCTACCCTGATGAGTAGTTAGACAACTGTACCTCCATCTGAGGCATATTCCAGACTACCCTTCCTATCTATACTTGTGTGAAGGCAGAACAGGGCCATGCTCCCAACCGGGCAGGAAGAGCAGTTGGTCACATTTCTTCTCCTTCTACAAGGTCTAAAAGTTGAGCAGTACATCAAATGTATGTCCAACTGGTAATTTTTACTAAAGTGCCGAGGAGCCTGCTTGTCTCTAAGCCTCTAATGGTTCCTGCAATCCATCACCTGTCCAGAGGCCCTCGCTTCTGCATGCCTCAGTGACTGAGATCCGCCTAGGGCACCCATTAACTTCAGCACCTGAACTAAAACACTCCTGACTCTAAGGACTAAACCTCACTCTGTGCTTAGCTGAGACCACTTTATCCCGAGGAGCCTAAGGGCAGGGCAGGTCGGGGGACAATTCTGTACTTCTGGAAAGAGCAGAATTAATACTTTAATGTAAGGTTTCTGTTTCAGGGTTCTTGGAATCTGTGCAACTTCCTCCTTCATATTCCTTTTGTAATCCGGAGTGAGATAAGACCTTGTTGCTTTATGCACATTGTGTCCTTTGCTTTCTTATTTTTACCTTTTGTTCAAAATAATAGATTGCATTATGTATTTTCATTGCAGAAAATAAAAATGCAATTTGGCATGTTATTTTACCAGTGTAACACATAAGGAAATCATAAGGGAAATGAAAAACTTTTAAAGAATCATCTGCTACACAAATTTTAAAAGATAGATTGTCCCATACTTTTTCTCATTCACTATTCATGTAATTTTTTTCCTATAATGTACTGGTTGATTTATTTCATACATGCACAAAATGTAAAGATCATGAATATAATAACCAAATACAGTAGTACTTCTTTCTGTTATTAATGAGACAGCTTCTTCATGACTGGTGGGCCTATTTTCATTTTCTAACTCTGTATATGTAAGTCTGTTAGTTTGCATAACTATATCTGTGCATTCATCACAGAAACAAAGTAAAAATGAGATTTATAGCAGGAAAGAGTCATGCTTCTCAGGTAACCATTAAGATGAATGTTTCCACATTCTCACCTATTGAGAGGGTGAGATTTTTGAGCTCAGATTTCACAGAAGCTCATTCACACTGCAATCGCAAAGTTCCCTCAATAGCTTAATGGGGCATCTGAAGTAAAAAAGACATTTAGCATCCTCAAGTGTAGAATGATGAGCTGTTGCTGAAATGGAAATGTGTCACACAGCATTCACCAGCCAGCAGACCAGTCTTTTATAAAACTAGACACAGAGTACTGGGGCCTTTCAGAAAATAAGATATACAAGTTAGAGGTAAGCATGTAAGTGCTCTCACAAAATGGAGAGTGAAATCTCCAAGATGGAGCAAAGTGTGGACCTGAGGTTTTGTGCCAGGTTCACAGACCCTTACTGTTGAAAACAAAATGTAAGGTACACTTGACTGGCTGGGATAAAGGTGAGGTAAAAGTGACACCTTATGTGGTGCCTACCGAGAGCAGACATTTTATGTGTGTGATTTCCACTAGGCACAAATACTTAATGTAGGAATTATTTTAGTTTTACAAATGAAAAAACTATAGCTCAAAGATTTTAAGCGCCTTTCCTAATGACAGGAGTATCAATATTTAAAGTCACCCTTATCTGGTCCTAAAGCTCATGTTTTTTCCACTATCTGTGCCACCTTTCTGGATAATAACATGGCAGCACTATATTCTTGGTCCTAAAACTCCACTATAAAGAACATAATCCACTGTGTCTTACTTAGTAGGTAGAGCTTTAAAAATGGAAATAAGGGTAAACTTATTCTTCATTGTAAAAACATAACAGTACAGTAGGTAGAAATTTAACAATTAAAGGAAAGCCCACTGTATGAATGTGATCATTTCCAAGGAGGAAATAGAGAACTGAAAAGTAGTAGCAGGAAATACTTTAAAATTATCCAGTCGACTATTTTGGTGGGAGGGGGGAGGTATGGCTCATGAGCTACAAGTGATTTTCGTGTTGTTTAATGCTGAGGAAAATAACAGGATATTTCATGACTGTGAAAATTGTGTGAAATTAAATTTTCAGTGTCAATCAACACAGTTTTTGTGGAACACCTTGCACTCGCCTCATAGCTGCAGCATCTGTGGTTGCTTTAGTGTTCCATGGGCAGAGATGAGGGGCTGCAGCCAGTGTGGCCCTGTGCCACACACTGCAAATCTTGAAGGTGATGACACAATAGCACCATGTCTTGGGGGCCACATATGCAAACACGCTGTGGCTTCTTTACTCATTAGCAGTGACTCTTCATTATCTCAAAGTAAGAAAAGAAAACAATGGTCTGAGAATGTCTCAATTTTAAGGCATGGTAGTATGTGGATTATTTCATTATCATGCTTATCATGTGACTTATTTATTATTTATTATGGGATTACCACATCTGTTAAAG